TATTTCACAAGCTGATAACTAAAATGTGTACTCACTATGAAAATCCAAAATCTGTATCTGCAGCGAGGTCTATGTTAACTAAAAAAAACAAGGCGATTTTTAAACATTGTGTGTAGTATATCATCGCTAAAGCCAACGTAATTTAGAGTTCAGTGCTAATCCAATGCATTTTAGATGGTAGCCTGCAACGATGAAATCCAGCCAAAAGGGGAACACGCCTGAAACAAAGTCACAAACACACAAACAGGAAAATAGATCAGCACATACGAACAACCATTATTATTTAGATAGTAGCTGAGAGACGATAGCATATGTAGTCGCACATACACATATACAACATTCATCACCACACAAGAACAAACATTAAAACCTCAGATAATCGTGGAGAACAATAAGCACATTCACACGTCGAAGGAAAATATGCCACCTCGCACAAACAATCAATAAATACTCGGGGCAACAGCTGAGAAGTGATGTCGTCGCAGTCATATGTAGACCTACAGGAAATTTCAACAACACACACGAAAACCATCAATAGACACTCTGATAGTCGCTTTGAATGCGTAGAGGGGTTCAGAAAGAGCAGTGCACCCAAGAAGCAACCTGTGTGGTCTTTATCTGTACATGGACTGCATTACCTTGACCTCGTTTCTTGTTGGCGCTCCATCGCATCGATGATTTGCAGCACATCGAACTTCACCAATTTCGGTAGGCAATGCGCACAGATGAGATGTCTGAAGATAAAAACTCCCTGCTTCCTCAGGGGGGACCGTTCAGGGCTTTCACTCACAAGCCTGGCGATAGTGTACAGCAACTTGGCATCCATGACCACGTCTTTGGCATCCGAGGAACGTTCGGTGGCAGTGGCCGTTTCCATCAAGAGCATGGTGTACGTGATGATGGGTAGGTCGCGGGAATGCAACAGATTGTTGAGATCCTCACTCCTGTGGCGGTCGGAATATAAGTTTGTACGTCATTACAACAAACGGTAAGGTACGAATATACTTTAGATATGCAGTATCGGGCCGTGGCCGTTCCGACAGCAGCATGATGTATGTTATGATGCGCAAGTCGCGCGAGTGCAACAGCTTAAGATCCCCACTTCTACGTTGATTAGAATGCGCAAGACTTAGGCCCAAGAACAACGGAACTGTTGAGTGCCGGCGAAAGGACTCGCTGCGTGTGTAGATGGGGCAGCATTGAAGTGCTCAGGTATAGTGTACGATGAATGTTCAGCCAGGCAACTAATATGGTTCTGCATGACACTTCAGCACTTGATTCTACAGTCCTAGGGCTCCACTACCCTGCCATTTGTTGTACAAAACTGCACAGATGTGTACACACATGTGGAACATCTACATCAAAAGGCATGAACATAGTTTTCTAATATCAAAAAGATAGCTTGGGAATTGGTAACAATGTTACTGTAAGTGTATCAAAAGCCTATAATCCATCAGCCATTCCAGTAGAATTGACAATAAACGAGATCTGTACTAGACTCGTAAGTAAGGGACAACTATAGGGACGTCATCAGAGTACTCCATCCGTAGATGTCCCTAAAGTAGTACATTCGAGGACAAATATATAGATAGACCAATAATATGGAAACGTACAAATGTTCAGAATAACAACTCAGTGCAGCCAGAAACATACGTCATTGAATACATTGCGCTATTTCGAGAAGAAACAAGTACACAATGAAAATCCACGACATACCTCAAACAATGTCGTCCAGCTGACGCAACAAAGAAAGAGGCCAGCGTACTGGCGTCGAATCTGTAAAACGACAAGCCTTTCAACAGCGCACGTACCACATTCAGATTCGCGTGTGGGTTCCGTTCAATTGCGGGATCAATTGCAGGACTATTATTATCGATTGTGGTATCTGTCACGGTTTTGATATCGGCTTCTTTATGACCTTTCACCTCGGTCTCGCTGATATCATTCACGTTGTGTGCATGAAGTGCTGTACTACCCTGTACTTCTATCGACGATGGACCACTTGCCTCCGTAACTTGATCCACTCCTACATTTGCCCTCTGTTGGTCAGTCTGTGGCTGTTTTGAACGTGGATTGGCAGTTTCTGAGCCTTGCTGCGCTTCTTCAGTATGTGCACTGGCAGCGTGTAGGACACGATGTCCTTCCTTTCTCCGTATATCTCCTGACGCCTCCAGACCCAAGCCCGCCCTCCCATCCCGCTCCTCCGAAGCAAGCATAGTATTCAGAAACGGCGACGATAGCAACACCTGCACCAACCCCTGGCAGCCATCTGCCCGTTTAATCTTGCCCCTGGTCACAGCCTCTTCTGAAAGCACACATAGTAACCGTGCCACAAGTACACGGACGGAACGCTTGCCCTGGGTGTGCAATACTAACGCGCACAGATCATCTATCAAGTCTTGTGTGGCCATGCGTAGGCGAATGACCACCGCCGTCTCAGCCCACTGCAGGAGGAGGACCAGCTGTGTACGATCAAAATTCATGGAGAAGACTCGATTCAGATTCTTCGTAACATAAAATAGGAGATGATCTTCACATGCGATACATATTCGAAAAAGCAAAAGTAACGCGCAAAGATGATCCATCAAGCTTTGTGTCGCCATGCGCAGGCGCATGGCTACGCCCATCCCAGCCCATTGCAGAGGTAGTGCCAAGTGTACGTGAACATTGCCATGGATAGAATATAACCGGTCATCATCATTCGCGTCTCAGCGTGCTCGTACAGTTTGGTGAAAGGAGAGGTACGTTACGATATCGTAGGGAGAATGCTTTGTACATACATATACATTCTGCACGTGTGTTAGAATCAGAGGATACTGTCCTAAATTATACAGGTTGTACAACAAATCAACAAATGCTATAGGTAAGCACTTTAATTTCGCGTATATATATATATATATATATATATATATGCATCTAGAGTAGTGCAGGATATCCTTTACTGCACGGTTACAATCACTTATATATAATATATATATATATATATACATAAACAATACATATACATATCCATGAAAATTAACAGTTAAATATCTATACATATATACACATGCGACTCAGTACATATTACCGTGTACTGGAGGGCTACATATACATCGGCAACCGACTCTTTCGTCAGGGCGATGGAGGAGTGATCGGCAGTAACATATGCCTGATAAGGTTGTGAAGTGGAAGTCAAACGATGGGTGGTATGAGGCTCTTTGACCGGATTACAAGACTCTTTTATATATATCTCGGAGGCCAAGTGCGTAGCAAACGGGGCAAGAGTGTGTTTCATATTGTGATGCTCTTTCGATGAAAGCACCATTTTTAATGCAGATCACACAGAAAATGTCACGGCGATGGCTAGGATGAAATCTAAGCCCTAGGACTTCAGAATCGTACCGCTTTGGTCTATTGCACATCTAAAATGAAAACACTGTTCCACACTGAGATTCCATATTGTGGTTTGTCTTTCGTGACAATCGCTGCAGCTGAATCTCCTATCTCTGCATATCACCTTAGCCACCATATCATCATGACACCTGTCGGACTGTTGAAGGGCACGCATGTGTGAACACACACCCACACACAAAAATGCACCGAACTCTAAAAGTCTTGCCTGTTCTTGCCCCGGCGTTTCCAAACTTGGCTTCTCATCCACAGTACTTACTTCCTCAGTAATCCCTTTCTCTCCCACTATCGCCCGTCTCACCATCGCATGCACAAGTGATTGAAACAGGCCCATGCCGTCACCACGCTTCACATCCAATACCCTCTCAGACCACGCAACTGCACCAGATAAACGGGGCACGTTGGATGTATCTATCTTGCCTATACCTGCATTGGACGGCGGGATTGACATAGGGCTGGGTAAAGCCGTACCTTTGTCAGGTTCGCTTAGCGTGTGGTCTCTGTACACGTACAACACTTTCAGCGCCTGGGACACTAGCAGGAAACACGTCGCATACCGTGCCACAACAAATGCACAGCCAACCACATCCACTACAGGCGCTAGTGGATTGGTCTTGGCCACCACTGTGGTTGTGTAGGATGTGTTCAACCCTTGACTTTTCTGCATATGTGTACGTGTATGTGCGTGTGCTTGCGCGTTGTGCGGGTCCAAAGGTGAGATCACAGGAGCAACTAGATGCTGAGGCTTTACAGCAACGGCTTCGCTCGATGCAGACGTTACTTGTACTATGGAACCTACTGCAGCTAATAACCGTAGGCTGGCATATAGGAAGTCTCTGTTGTCCTTGTTTTGGATGTACTCACGGCCACGGCGAGTCTCTTCGGCTTCCTGAACTTCTTCGTTCTTCGTATCTGCAGCGTCGTCTGTCTCTGTGTTCCACCGATCCATCCAGCCTCCTACCAAGACGATCTAGTAGTGAGAGTGTGTATATCTGTGATCAGTATACAAAGCCAAAATCATGCACATATATATACATATACATAT